TTATGCTTCAGACGAGGGAAAATAAAAATTATCTGCTTCAAAAATTACACTGGAATTATTTTGTTGAAATAAAATTAGGATCCTAGATCTCATTAATAACATATCAAGTCTCGATACAAGATCCCAGCCTGGTCAAGCAGAGATAATATTCGCGACGCAGATAAGTTATTCCCCGAAAACTGGTGAATTATAAAATACTAGTCAGGACAACGTATGTTTCCCCATTGTTTGGTTAGGGAAATAGTTATGGTACTCGGTCATAGCCTTAGAATGACATCCTGTCAGCCGATGAGAGTACAGAACAACTTTCACGGCACACACTACTGACAAATAGCGAGTCTGATGCCGACGTGCGTAATTGGACAAAATGGAAAACAATGAAAGCAACAAGTACTTCATGATTTGCCGTTGTATTCGGCAATGTTTCGAGTTGACTGCATCATTTAGGGCTCCAATTCCCAAAAGAACGTTATAGCGGAACATTTTCAAGCTGATGTGAAATCTCTTACTGATTTTGATAATATATCTCATGTGTACCAGTCGAACTGCCCCAGCTACAAAATGCCCCAGCAAATTTGGTCATTCATTCTAATTTGTTCAAATTTTATTTATAACGATTGAATATGTGCCGTAAATGCATAGTTTTTGTCAACTTATTATGATATTATGTTATTCATATAAAGTTATCAGGAAGTACTATTTCTGATAAATGTTTCATCAGTGAACTCATAACTATGTATATACTTATATAAGAAGAACATAATATCAAAGTTGACAAAACTATGCATTTATGGCCTACATTTATTCATTTTAAATAAATTTGGGCATTTTGACTACCCCACTGGGGCAATTTGACAAAATTTGCTGGGCCATTTTGTAGCGGGGGGCAATTCGACTGGCAATCGGACTTGATTTAATTTATGTTAAAAATACCACTGACAGTAAGTTGTTACAGGGAATGATGGAGTATAAGTAATGAATCTCGTGGGTACTTTTTCCTTCTTCAGCCTAGATTGGGGATTTCCATACCCCATGAGTGCTTGTCTCTTTCATATGCGTCCGACTCGGAATGATCGGCGCATTTCTCCTGCCGAAATCTGTCATTTCACTTGGAAAACGGAAGAAATGGTGGTGCTTTCCCATGTTCGATGATTCCGTGCATCCACAGGCAACGCAATACACCATCGTACCATTTAAAAAAAAACGACAGAAACAACACGATTTGTATTACTGTAGCGCTTGGTCTTTGGCAATATGGCGGACGGCACATTTTACGTCACGAGCGGAAAGGTCACGTGGGTTCCAGCGAAATATGCTTAATGGCCGAAGCTGAGATTTACAGAAACTGTTTTAGCGATTAAAACATAATTATACATACTTTTAATTGAAAATTCGGTAATATGTTTCTGATGACTTTATCTTTCACCTATCAAATTATTGCAATTCACTCGTATTCTCCTAATTGTACCTCTATATATATATATTAAATATAACCCTTTTGGACTGGACCTTGGACTTAAAACGGTAATGAATGGAAACTTGATCTCGTCACTATATGGCTGGAATAATGCCGATGTGACGTAAAGCCTAACTCATCTCAACTTAATACTGGAAATATATATAGCGCTAAATCCAACCACTAAGTGGTTGCTTAAAGCGCTACAAAATAACAATAATATTTGAATAGAGTCAATAGTGCAGTGAAAAGAGATGCGTTTTAAGATGTGATTTGAACACAGCAAAAGATGGGGACAGTTTTAAGGCGAGGGGCAGTTCATTCCACAACGATGGAGCACAAACACTGAAAGAACGCGTTCCATAAGAGGCAAATCTATAAGAAGGAGTTTTCAGAAAGAATATGCTGTCAGATCGCATGTTGTCTGGATGGTTTGTAGGGGTTTAGCAGTTCACTTAGATATTCTGGCGACATGCCTTTTAGACTCTTGAATGTGATACAGAGTACTTTAAACACTATCCTCTCCTCAACCGGAAGACAGTGTAATGACTTCAGTATCGGCGTAATGTGAGAGTACTTTGGGGCACGTGTAGCGATTCTTGCCGCTACATTTTGGACTGTTTAAAGTCTCCTCAGTGATTCTTTACTGATCCCTAGAAGCAAACTGTTCGCATAGTCCAACCTCGAGAGTACCAAACACTGTACCGGTATGTCCTGTCGCCACACCGGTGCTAACCTGGAACACTACAAACACGTGACGATTAGTGAACTTGTGAGGAAGCAAATGGCCACCAGTGATGTGAAGGATCTTTCAAGACGTAGAAGAGCAATGATAGTGATGACTTGAGTCCTAATTCATTTATCAAGACGCTATCCCGTGACCCGTGTTGAAGAACTGCGCCGGCAATGAGCATGAGTCCGACTCTCCACCAGTAGCATCAGAAGCTGGCTGTGGACTGATTGTCTTAGGAACGTCATCCGATCAGACATCCCTACCTCACCGATATGCATAGGCAGGAACATCCTGTCGTGGTGCAGGATCCGAGAACACCTGAGGACAAGGTAAAGGGTTCATTGGACGAATGAAAGTCGTTGTCTTCTACACGTTACCCACGGCTGTTGTCGCATACAGATTAGTATTAAAGAGGCATATCGGCGAGAGATTATCCATGCAGCTCAACCCCTGGCACTATGATGATGTCGGCTTTCGTTTCAGAAGTTGGAAAGTACAACATTGACAAATATATGGATAACTTGTTTCATTTTGTGAGTGTGACTTTTCAATACATATTCTTGTATCAACAAGACATCTGTATCGAAACGCCTCACTCACAATATATAAAAGTTCCTTACATTTGTCAATATTGTACTTACCAACTTCTAAAATGCGACTCAAAGAAGTTGACTGTAATTTGTGTATCACTTCAGTACCTGAGACACTTAAGAGTTCCTTTAGAAAATCCTGAAGAAAATGAAGAATACGAGAACTGACTGATCTGGCTTTTTAGAACAGTATGAGCCTCTGGGATCCACTGGGAAGAATAATTTCAGGAGAACCCCAGCTCTGCGGCACACACTACATCCAGAAACATAAACATGTTGGAATACTAGTTGAGGTAGTGGATTATTTGTTCAGATTGTTGCTAAAACATACCAGTGTAAATGTACTTTATAATAAACTTTCAATTAATGTTGTCAGCATCTAAGCGCCAAAGACATAGCTTCATTTGTAGTGAGTATGGTTTTACACAGTTTTTAAGCAATATTCCAGCAATATCGCTGCATGGGAAAGCATAAAATGAGCTTCATTCACTGTATCCACGTGTGGAATCGAACTCGGGTCTTCGGCGTGACGATCGAGCGGACACTTTAACCATTAGGCTACCCCACCGCTTCCGCCTCATTTGCATAGGGCATGCAGGTGCACAGGGGACGCAAAGGCCCCTTGACCTGTACAAGCTACACACCATAGTCACTTGTGATATTTCTATTGTTTCATAGCACTCTGTTCAGTGACATACAGTGCCTGAGATGATATATCCGTCCATACTTCCAATTCCCGCCTTGATCAATGACAGACCAGGTAAGGTAAATTCTAAGATGCCTAGCGGTTAGAACAATCGATAAAAAAATACATTATCAGACAATAAAGGTATAGTTTTTTAAAAGACGTAACAATTGAATGACGTTATCCCGTCACTGCGCCATTCTAGTGTGCCCCCTCGTAATCGAACCATTTTACATTACGTCACAATTTAAGCGCCGTCACGATGCATGTCAGTTGTCATCGCCTCGTACGGCCTCCTACAGTAAACTACACCGTTGCATCCCGTTTCTTGGTTAGCTGTTGCTTCACGCAGCTAACATCACTGGTGGAAACATTACGTTTATGTTTTACGACGGTTAAAATGTCTCAGTTCGTCTCACAAGTTTTCAGCGACACGGTAACGTTCGCAATGTTTACATTCCCACAATGGAATCGTGGAATGTCGCTTGACTACTCAACTTCCTCTAGATGTACTGATCTAAACTTACGTTGGTAGTAGAAATGCAACGTTCATATTGCCCCATATGGTTTATGTTAATAACAGATGTATTTAAAATAATTCAGAGAAGATACTTAATCCGAACGTAAACCGTCATCAAACTGTTATCATTTGTTTTTTTCTGGTAGCGTTCGTCTAAACGTAGGGGGCAGACACATCAATAGAACAGCGCGCCAGGTAGCCCTGTGCGAGGATTCTTAATTTAGGTCACCGACACCGTCGTTTGTTTTCTGCCTTAAATTAATCGTAATTATCCTTAGAAAGTATTAAATTTGGCATCTTAGAAAAGAAATACAGATCGCCCTGCCACCATGTATAGTGTAATAAAACACACTTTCGCCCTGAACTATCAGGGCAAAAGTGTGTTTTATTACACTATACATGGTGGTAGAGCGAAGTGTATTTCTTAAATATTCCTGGTACTACGAGCGTATTAAGAGAAACACACATGTATAGAGGATATTGTGCTAATGCTGTCAAAAAACATGTATGTTTCATCGAGTGGTCTGACAAAGTTGATATTGTCACGAGTGGCGCACGAGTGAACATATCAACATGTCAGACCACGAGATGAAAAGTACATGTTATTTCACAACATTAGCAAAATATTCTATTTATTATATTTTTGATCATTGTTTATAAATGATCGAGGCATCGGGACATTATGTGTAATCTGAAAGTAGTTCCAGGCAAAAGTGATATTCTACTCAGTGAAATAACATGTTATTCTACTCAGTGAAAATACCATGTTTATATTCACCAGTATTTACAGTATTTCACCCTTAGAATATAATAAAGTTTCTTACTTAAAACCGTTAATATTAACGCATTCTGTATGATAACAATAACATCCACCGCCCTAATTTTACGTTGAAGCTAATTTTCATTGTATTTCACAAAAACAAATCGATCTGTCAAAATTGGCTTGTGGAAATTAATAAACTTAATCAGAATGTCAAAATGAGACATTCCAGTGTTTTGACGGAAACTGGAAATTGCCGTTTTGTATTTTGGCAGTTTGAGGTTCAGTCGCAGCCGACTGTGCAATTTCCTTTTTGTTTACGCTTCTCCCAAAGAGGTAAGTAAGATGAACAATATTACGGTTCGAACAGTCTGTCAGGTATTCTTATGTGTACTGATGCATATATTTATGACGCCGTTTTGTGATAAGGTGGCTCCGATGCATCTAGTAAATAATACACGCCCATGTTTTGAGCGTCGATCTTGACGACCTGTGGCCGTGTGAGATCTAGAGTGATGTCAGAGTATGTGTTCATCATGTAATGATATGCGTTTAATATTGCATTTAGTCTGCTAAAACTCAACTTTTCCCTTGGGATTTTGTAACAAGTATGTTTATTTAGAGTTAATGAAACATTCAAGCATATGCTGGCCTGGTGGCCCCCTGTTGCAGCTACAAAATATAGCATATACTACGGTTCCGTGCTAAAACGGCTGTTGGCGAATTGACAGTGGTGTAACATCAAAACAACCTGACTATGGCGCAAATGTTATTCGAGCCATATAAATTAATGTGGGGTGGGGTGGGGGATGGGTTGGGTGGTACCTTTGCCAGTTAAATTTGAAATTCAGAACCCATGTCTCCCTCTCCCCTGGGTATGAAGCTGCATATGTGTGTTCATTGAATTTCTTCCTGTTCTTCAGAATACAAGGAAGCAAAATGGCCTTCTGCGTGTACAAGAACCTTGGGATGGACATTACAGTAAGTAACCACAACAATATTAAGTTCATATTCAAGAAGGAAGTTGTGAGTTCTATTTACTATCAAACCTCAGTCACTCTGTGGTTGAGTGAAGTACGATCACAAAGAAATAATGCATTAAACAGGAGTGAATGGAGCTGGTGCGCCTCCATCTCTGGCTAGTTTTGGAGCACCACTAAATATTACCTCGCATTCATACAGATATTAAGTAATACATATGCAGTCGTCCATGCTTTAGACAAACCTATGGCTGGTAACGAGTGTGATAACATGAGAGGCTTCCAATTCATTCGGTTTATTCGTCATAGTTCCCTTTGGGCAGGTACACACTGACCAGGACAATCTGGCGACTCATAACATGGCGGGCATCAAACACGTGCTCAGGGAGCCTTCATTGTATGCGATATTACACAAGATTAGGGAGTGGCTTATTATTTAAGTTGTATCATGACACCTCCCCTCTTTGAGATAAGCAATTGTACTATTGCCTGGATGTACAACCGGATATACCTGATGTTGTATGAATGGAAATATATCAATAAATTGTGGATTTAAACAACACTTCAACAAGAAATCTTTGCCCGAACTGAACTAATAATACTGAAAGGTTTTACACCTTCTTACTGCTGATTTACCTTATCAGACTTTAACACACTTGAACTGCTGAAGCTAGAAAATTGTCAAGAATTAATGCAACTTGATAACAATTAAACTTCCTTGTTCAAACAACACTTCAAATGTCTTTCAAACCAAGTCACCACATTTTTGTGGTGATTTCAGGACTCGACCAGAGGTAGAAGTGGTTTGCAGGGGAATGTCAGTCTCTGGTGCCATATTGGTTGTAGTAGGAATGTCAGTCACTTGTGGTGGAGATGTCTTTCCACTGCTAGAAATGTCATTTGTGCTGTCTTGGCACCGGGCATTCTGAGAGTCTCTCCCAGAAGATCTACTAAGAGATGTCGTCGGTTTCGTCTGAACGTCCCCTGGGAAGTGGCAACCTTGTAACTGCGCGTAGCGTCACATGCATTGGTGACGATGGCTGGTGTGTCCCAGCGCTTCTCAGAGTCTAGCTTCACTCTGACTTGAGTTCCTGGGCTAAGTGGTGAAAGACATCTCACGGAGTGTCTCTCATTGTAGAACTTCTCATAGGACTTCTTCACACTGTCATCTCTCTCCCTCACCTTTTCCAAGTCTGGCTACAGGAGACAGGTTTGTTGGCAGCGTAGGAATGTTCGTCCTAATGCGTCGTCCCATGATCAGCTCTGCCCGGTGATACACCAGAGGCTCTAATTGGCGTTGATCTGTACGCCAGCAATGCCATGTAGATCAATCTTCACTGCACTTTCTGCTTGTCCATTCGCTTGTGGAAAGTGCGGACTACTGGTTGATAGTGAGAAGTTATAGTCTCTGGCAAACATCCTAAAATCTGCTGAAGTGAATTGGCTGGCGTTATCAGAACAGAACTGTTCGGGTATACCCCAACGGGCAAATGTGGCCTTTAGTTTCCCAATCACTTGTTTGCAAGTCATGTCAGCAAGATGAGCGATCTCTATAAAGTGAGAGTAGTAATCAATGACTATTAGAAAATTCTCGCCTTTCACATGGGCAATGTCTGCAGCAACTTTCTGCCAGGGCCTGGCAGGTAGATTAGTGGTTATGAGTGGTTCCTTCCTCTGTGATGGCTTGTTGGTAGTACAATACTGACACTTGTTGATTTTCTTGATATTGTTGGCCACCAAACGCATGTTGCTGCTCTCTCATGGCATTTCGTAAAGCCCTGATGACCCTGGTGAATAATATCAACCACTTCGATTCTCACCTGTTGAGGAATCACTATACGGTTCCTGAATACCAACAGATTGTCAAACACTGATAATTCACCCTGAACTGCGTGATACGCATGTAGCTCTGTAGGTACACTTCGCTATGCTCTCTATGAATATGTTCACTTCTCCTTCAAGACATATGTCATTGACTTCACTTTGAAGTGGACTTCTGGATAGAGTATCCGGTACTATCAGTGACTTGCTGGGGATGTTCTCTGCAATGGCTTTGAATCTCCTCAATCTGAGTAGCAGTCTCTGACATCTTATGGGTGTACGATTGAGGTCGTATGAATTGATCAGAGGGACCAACGGTTTGTGATCAGTTTGCAACTTAAATGATTCCAGTCCCTCTAGATTCCCGCTGAACTTTTCACATGCCCACACTCCTGCGAGGCACCTTTTTCTATCTGTGCATATTTGGCTTCAGATGCTGAAAGTGTTCTAGAACAGAATGCAGCAGGTTGCATCTTATTGTCCTTGATCTGAAACAAGGCACCTCCTAGCCCGTAACTACTGGCGTCAGCACTGACAACTATCGGGAGAGAAGGGTCGTAGAATGCAAGTACTCTTGAACTCGTAACCAGTTCTTTGACTTTGGAGAATGCAGAGTCCTGAGCTGGTCCCCAAAACCAAACTGTGTCAGTTTTCAAAAGATCAGTTAATGGCTTTGCAGTAGAGGGCAGGTCTGGCAAGAACTTTCTGAGGTAGTTGATCATACCCAGTATTCGACAATGTTCTGCGACATCTTTTGGTGGTGCTAATTTCTTCACCGCTTCTATCTTGCTGGGGTCAGCGCATATCCCATCCTTAGTGATCTCGTGACCAAAGTATATGATCCCTGTTTGGTTGCAGATTTCTTCTGTACTGGTACCATGGGAGCGCACCATTCAGTTGGTTCTGTTACCTCCTCAATTATTCCTGCATCCTTCACCCGGATTAATTCTTCCTTCACTTCTGTCATCAAGGGGAATGGTACACAACGGGCTGTCGAGATACTAAAAGGTTGTGCGTCTTGTCTCAGTTTGATCCTAACTGCTTCACAGTCGAGAAGACCGACTGGTTAAATACATCAGACTTGATTTTGTTGATATGTGGCTCCACAAGTCCCATTTTCGTTGAAACAACTTGACTCAACAGATTGTTGCGGCCATTGGTCACACACACATTGAAGTTGTAGTCTTTTCCATGATATTTCACTTGTGTTGGAAATTGTCCAATACAGTCAATTGAGTGACTATGTCCCGACAGTTCCTTATCCAGAGGCTGAAGCTTAGGTTCATTATACAGCTTCTCATACGTGGCTTTTGACATAACAGTAACGTCTGCACCTGTATCTATTTTGAACTCCACAGGTGTATCTTGCACATAAAGTGTCACAAGCCATGCTTGACTGTCATCTTCACAATCAATTGATCCGATGAAGAATTCTGGTGTGCCTACAGCGTCCACATTATTCACTTGTCTTCTCCCTGATGATCGACACATAACAGCAAAATGTCCCATCTTCCTACAGTTAAGACACGTTTTACCACTTGCCGGGCATTTCTCCCTGTGAGATTGACCACATCTTGAACACCGTTGTTGTTCTTGCGTAGCATGCTGTGTTTGACCTCCATTTGCTTGCTGACCTCTCCTAGGCTGACCTGTATTGCTTCTAAAATGACCCCTTTTCTTTCCTCCACCTCAATTATAAGATTTCCGGCTCCTAAGCTCTTCAATGTCTTTAGCATCCTGGTTTCTAACTTGAGATTTGACTAACTCTGTCTCTCTAGCCAATTGTTTAGCCCCTTCTAAAGTCAGTCCGGATTGTAACTGCATTTTCTCAGACACCTGCTTGTCAGAAATTCCAATCACTAAACGATCTCTAATTGCTTCATCCTTCGAAAGTCCAAAATCACAGGTCTCTGCTAATTCATACAAATGTCTAATAAATGTCTCAACACTCTCGCCAGGCTTCTGTATCCGTTGATGGAATGGAGTCTGTTGTCTCTTCATTATTATTTTTATTTATTATTATAGGATATTTATATAGAGCACATATCCAGTGATATCTTACCTGTGAAAATGATGGCGAAGGTCATAGTGGGCACCATCATACTTTGTGGTATATATATTATAATCAGTTCTACCATGACATTTAAGTATATTCGTTTTTGATTGGCTGTTACCAGGGCTCCAGATAATCTTTGGGGTGCGGGTGTACTTACACCTCATATTGCAAGTGGAAGTGTACTGAGAATTTTGAAGGAGTACTGACATGTTTCTGTGGGAGCGAGTTGGTGATGTGGTTTGTTATTTTTAATATTAAACAACTTTTCAGCTATGAAACTTTATATGTGTAAGACTTACAAAGGTATTTATGTGCGTACATGATATGCTTGAAATGTTATATTATGTCATACTTCATTGATTTTTAGGCGTACATGACGCCTGTATGTCACTTATCTGTTGCCCTGTGTTACTAAAAAATTAGAAGTGAAACATTTTCAATAACCACTTCTGAGAGCCAGTTCACTGCGCGTAGTGTCAATACACTAGGCAAGGGTAACGAGTGCATATTTAAAACGCATTTTATTCTTGGTGCATATGTCATGGTAGAATGGAGATAATCCTATCATGTTTACATTTTGGAGTGATTATAGTTGGTTGAACGCTGTTAAATGTTTTTAGCAGCGTTCAACCGACTATAATCACTTCCAAAATGTAAACACGATAGGATTATCTGCTACGTGATTCTTTGTCAAGTAGCAGATCATTCAATTATCAGTATCATGGTTTACCAATTTCAGGTGGTACAGGAACCTTCTGAAGATTGTCCTTCCTCTCCAGAGTGTAAGAGACCTAAGAATAACTATATGGACAGTAGCCTGTCAGACGATGACTGTAAGTAACATGGAAAGCAGTGTAGATAAGGACTGTCTCATTGCCTCTGTAATCCAATCAAAGCATTGATCATTATGGTGTAAGGTGTTTTATACCCTTTCTGGTATCCATCAGGGGCGGTGGGGTAGCCTAGTGGTTAAAGCGTTCGCTCGTCACAAAGACTCGGGTTTGATTATCCATATGGGTACAATGTGTGAAGCCCATTTCTGGTGTCCCCCACCATGATATTGCTGGATTATTGCTAAAAGTTGTGTAAAACTATACTCACTCACTCTGCTATACATCAACCAATTGTGAAAACATCAATGTCAGCATTTCTTTCAACAGACCTTAAAATATGTTTCTTGGGTAAAAGATCAGTGTTTAATTGACAGTAGGTAAACTCATGGGTTGTTGTGACCCCAATACATTTTCTCATATTTATCTTGTATATATATATATATAGCCATGTAAAAGTATGATGAACCTGAATGTGTTCATATTGTGCCCTTTGCAGACAGCTACCCGTGTGACAGTTGTGACCTGGAGTTTTCATCTGCCATGTCCTTGTGGAAACATGTAGGGAACATGCATGGAGGAAGACTGACCGCTCAGTTGAGGAACATAGTGGACACTCGTGCTGACATGCATGATATCACTGGGGAGATAGGAAGCCAGACAGAACTCAAGGATGACATTAACATTTGTGACATTATTAAGCAGGAAGAGACCCAAGCAGATGACGCAGACACAAAGGACATTAACACGTGTGACATTAATAGGGAGGTAGAGACCCAAGCAGAACGCAGACTCAAAGGACATTAACATGCGTGACTTTACTGATGAGATGGGGACCCAGGGAGAGCACGCAAACATAAAGGACATTAACACGCGAGACTTTATTGGGGAGGTTAGGACCCAGGCAGAGGACGCAGACACAAAGGACATTAACACACGTCACATTTTTTGGGAGATAGGGACCCAGGCAGAGTACGGAGACGCAAAGGACATGAACACACATGAATTTATTGGGGCGATAGTTGCCGAGGCGGTGAACATAGACACTAAGGACATTAACATGTGTTACATTATTGAGGAGACGAGCAGTCACAAACAGAGCAGTGATTGTCGAGAAGTTACCCTCCAGGACAGTGTCATCAAGGAAGACAGAAGCAACGGAGGTGGGGGGATATCGACAGAAACCAATAACACCCAGAAACATGGACAGAATCGAGGCGAGAAAGTCTCCAAGTGTCCTAAATGTGTGAAGGAATTCAATACAAAGGGTGAACAGAAGACACACAAGTGCCTCAGAAAGGTCAATTCTTTTCCTTGTGGGGAGTGTGCGAAAACGTTTCCGCGTCCAAGTAACCTTAAGAAACACATGAGTGTTCACAGTAAAGAAAAACCTTATTCGTGCAAGCACAGAGGGTGTGAGAAAACATTTTCAATCCTAAGAAACCTGAATCGACATATGAGAACTCACAAGGAAGACAAACCTTTTTCATGCAGCCAGTGTGAGGAAACATTCACACAATCAAGTGAGCTGAAGGACCATATGCGGAGTCACAGTGGAGAAATACCTTTCTCTTGCAGTGAGTGTTGGAAATTATTACAATGTTAGGTACCCTTAATTCACATCTGTTGGTGCAAAGTGACATCCGGAAGTCACCTTAAACAAAATTTGGCCCGTGAAGATCCGGGTTAGAATTGGTCTTCAGCAACCCATGCTTGTCGTAAAATGCGACTAATGGGATCGGGTGGTCAGGCTCGCTGACTTGATTGACACATGTCAATGTATCCAAATTGTGTAGTACGATGCTCATGCTGTTGATCACTGGATTGTCTGGTCCAGACTCCATTATTTACAACCATACAGCTGGAATATTGCTGAGTGAGACATTAAAGAACGTCCAGTCCGATCCAGTCATTGCATATTGGAAATGACTGGAGACCCTCTTCTTCTTCTCGTGTAAGTGTGTGTTTGGCAATAATCTTGAATAAATTAGGGCCTGTCTATCTCACTTCAATATACAGAAGACTAACAATCACGTGGATAGATCAGCATCTCCCTGATAGGGACGATGAGAGGTTTCAGAGTGGGCTTGTATGTAACAACATTCTTTGAATTGTCTCCAATAAGTTTTCATAACTATTAACATATCTCACTATTAAATGTATACAAGACTGCTATGTCCAATAAACTTGGCATTGAAGTTCGAAAAAATGGTATTGAAATTGCAACTTAGTTCTTAGGTGCACCGATTTCTAACAGTTGGAATGGTCAGTGGAAAAGAGGAATGTCAGGTTTATGGGTACTGACAGCTTCCTGGAAGATTTAATCTTGGCAACTGATGCAACAGAATTTGCATGAGCGTTAAAGTTATATATGATTGATGGGAACATTGAATCAGAATGGTCTCAATGTTAGTTTTCAATGTTATGAATTCAAATTCAAAACGCTGCAGCTCGTCTGGTCTCTCGAACCCATCGCCATGACCATATATCGCCAGTTCTGAAATCCCTTCACTGGCTTCCAGTAAAGTACAGGATCTACTTCAAGATTCTGCTACTGACTCATAACTGCCTCTACGATGACCAGTCCTGTGACTACCTTCGCCAGCTTGTACATCTGCATCTACCCACCAGAGCTCTTAGATCAATAGATACATTAAGACTAACACAGCCAAGCACTAAAACCTCCATGGGTGATAGAGCCTTTTCTGTAGCAGCACCAGCTCTATGGAACAATCTTCCAGTCACCCTCAGACGAACTGAGTCCCAGTCACTTTTCAAGAACTTGCTCAAAACCTACTTCTTCAAGATGGCTTCTGAACAGAACTCTTTTCACACTTATTGTGTTTTTAACGATGTATGCAGCCCCGTTGAGCATCTGTGATGGAAACTAGGCGCTATACAAGCCAATTATTATTATTATTTATTATTATTGGCATATTGTGATTAGTGACACAATCAAAGGAGAAGACATTCCATGTAAAGTTACGTGGAATTGTTTAGCTGTTATATTTACTGTGACATGTATTAGAATACAGCTTGTTTTAAAAAACCAGAACAATCCCCGGCAAGCATGGCAGTTTCTCCTGAGCCAGTGGGTTTGGAGGACACATCTGACATCAAAGGCGAGGTGTTGGACACCAAGGACTTTCAAGCAGTTGTAGAGGTAATTAGACCACTAAAAACATTTTCGATCGTATGAGAATCTCCAGTGACACTGAAAACAAAACTGACCAGAAGACATCTATTCCCACAATACAAGAAATATGAAAGTAAGGTGCCTTTTGGATGAACAACTTCTTTATTATGTGTGATGCAACGTTTCGGGTATCGATTCTTATACCATTGTCAAGCAAGAGTGAATTACAGAACAGACTTATCTACATCAACAGCGATTATGTAAAAACAACATGTAAGTTTTTATGAAAAACATCATGTTGATATACAAAAATACCAAATCAAATTCTTTGACCATGTTAAATTTTACATTATCGTTAATACTTAATCATTTCAGACATTTCGGAGACTCCACCCAGCCAAACGACAATGTGACCCTACACGAGTACTAGACTCCAAACTTAAAGAATGGAGAGCTAAATGCATGACAGCTGTGGGTTTGGAATCGGAGAAGGTATGTGGATATCAAAGATGATTAGTGCATGTCAGTAGTTTGTCAGTGGGGTACAGCAACGTGCAGTAAACTTGGACAAAATTCTGTGACTATATGTCTCAGTCCACCCATCTGTGAATGGGTACCTCATAAGGATGGGAAAGCCACATCAACTTGGTGTGCCGAGTGGCTGCAAAAGTTGTATTATCCCCAGGGGAGTAGAGATTGATAATGTGATGTGACGTTGTGATTGACATCCAATGATGGAGGTAAAAACAAAGCACCTGTGAGCAGCCTAGCTGGAACTTGGCGCTATGTAAATAGATTAAATTTTTAAACTTATCCTATCTCACGACTTGCACCTCTCTCTCTTCATTCGACCATGAGTGGAAACGAATTAAAACTTTGCTCCAGGCCTACCTTGTCCCTCTCCAGTGCTGTGTGTGCCTTCCTGTCTCAGTCGTGCTCACTAGTCCATGACAGCACGAGGCATGCGCAGTCCTCACCCACGTGATCACCTCACATACTCATTCTCTTTCTTGTCGCTCCACTGAGTTGACGTGAACATTTTTTCGTCTGAGAATTGCTCAAAATGGTTAAGCCTGTTCAGGCCAGTAAATGGAAGTTTTGCGCCCGTTGTAATAAAGTATTTTCAGCATGGGACCCATTGATTGTGTGGGTTTTTGTGACAGGGACACACGCTGTCCTAAGTGTTCAGGTCTGTCTAGTGAGGCGTTTAAATCTTACAAACGTGCTTGTGCCAGACGTTTTGCAGATAGGGCTAGGACTAATTCTGCGGGGTCTGGTTCATCTCCCGCTAAGAAACAATGCTTAGATCGCCCCACCCTCACTGCTCACCGTTCTAAATCGCCCGTCTCTCCTGACGAAGATTTTATGGACGCTTCGTCGGATTCATATTTATCTGAGAACGTTGGAAGGCTTTTAGGGGAGCTTCCCTCACCCAGTTTAAGTTCTCATGAGTGTACCAGGGTGGTAATGACCGATATTTCTTCTACGCCAGACCTGCGATCTACATTATCTTGTAGGTCTGTTTCTTCGGAACGATCACAGACTTCGAGAACTTCTAAGCATTCATCGTCGAAGCGGGGATCGGCGCGGTTGGAACGTACCCGCTCTCCTATTTCCACGGTCTCATCTCACCGGAACAATTCAACCACACGAGTCACCATCTGGTGCGAAGGTTCGAATGCGTTCTTCCACGGCTGGGAGGAGTCGTTCTAGGTCTCGTTCACGCTCGAGCTCTTGTCGGCCTTCTAACATACCAGTTCCAATTGCTTCATGTAATCGAATGGGTTCACCAGGACGAATCAGTTCACTTTCCCGAGCCGGCTCACCCTGCCGAACCGGCTCACATGGCCGAGCCGGCTCACCATGCCGAACCGGCTCACCCTGCCGAACCGGCTCACACGACCGAGCCGGCTCACCAGAACATCCTTGAATGAGTTCAGTTGATCGAACTGATTCACGTAGTCTAATGGGTTCCTCTGGCCGTACTGTTTCACGTACTCAAATAGGTTCACCAGGACGAACCGGGTCACATTCCCGACTCAACTCACCTCAACATGTGCTTCCGTTCGACTCACCACAGCGTTTTGATTCCCGTAGTCGTTCAGTCTCACCTAGTCGAAGTGGTTCGTCATTTCCATCCGGTTCACCTAACCGCTTGGTGTCTTTGCGTCAGAGGGATAATAGAAGTCGGTCTCATTCACCTCAGGTGAATCAGAATATCCCCTCTAGCCAGCCTAGTGCTAGTGACGTCTTATGGTCAGTGCCTTTACATGATAGTACACATCAGCAACGCCGTTCTGTGAGGGTGGTTTCACCTGCTAGGTAGCGTTCCGCTTCAGTGGATCAGCGTTCACCTTCACGCCATTCCACTTCTACTTTGCCGCGGTCACAGATTATTGCTGCGTCTTGGAATCCTGCTATTGATTCCTCTCCAGCGCCGGATTTAGATACCATGCTTCGTGCCGTTACGTCGGCTTGGAATCAGTGTCGCTCGTCCTCACATGTTCAACAATCGTCTGGCGTACTTAGCACTAATCGTTCTGTGGATTTGAGGGATCGGACTCGATCTCAGACTACTTTCCCTTCACCTGGGCAGTCAGATATCTCCACTCCTGATGGCAGTTTTGATGTTGTTGAACCGGGCTCACGTGCTAGCCTGGATAGTTGAAAAATTCAGCTACCTCTTAGTAAATCTCCAGATGATTTGGCCACGTCTTATGCCATGACTAATAGAGATGTTTCCAGTATCACACTCCCTTTGCGTCCATGTCTTCAACAATTGCCTTCTTCTCTTGAGGCGGCTTTCAACAAGCTTAGAAGGACGAAGGATGGTTTGTCTGCTCCAAGGTTCCGACCATCGACGGCACATACTCATGGTGTGAAGCTTTGGTCAGCGGCACCTTCAGTCGATGATGACATTTCCATGGTCTGTGGCAAGCGTTCCATTTCGCCGTATTTGGTGGAAGACAGGGAATTGGCTCACTTAGATACTACGGTTCGCCATGCTATCCCTGCCATTAGCTGCATTATTTCAGCTGTTGACGCTGTGGCGGAGGCTGTCAATCATGCATATACGGACCAGGACGCATACATCAGGGGTAGTATGACTCTGATTTTAGACCAATTCCAGGTGGTCTTCGAGCAATTGTCTCATTTTTTTGGCTATTTACTTGCAATACGGCAACGGGGTCCGTTGAATTTCTCCTCATGGGAAGATAGATTCAAGGCTGAATTATTTCGTCAACCATGGTCGGGGGATACGGTGTTCAGTGGTGCTATTGCAGAAATCGCATCCAAGGTGGACCGTCTTAACCAATTTCAAGTATCTGTCGATCTCTTGGAATTGCAAAAAATTCAGCTCCAAGATTCTATGCGGCATCGCCGAACCGCACAATTTACCCCTTCCAACCCAGACCTCCGGGACTGTATGAAAGGCACGGCGCCTTCTCAAGCACGTGGCAGAGGCCGGAAGCCATTTCGTGGTTCCGCATCACGTCGCCCCTATCGACCCGACACTGGAACTGGACATAGACAGTCCAAACAGTGACTCACGGAAGTCAGAGCTCAGATTGGTTCTGCCGGATCCGGTGGTTCCAGTGTTCGATTCCCCTGTAGGAGGGAGGTTAGGTCTGTTTGCTCCCAACTGGGAGTTTCAACCTTTGCAGCAAATATATCCTCTGGATCGGGCTGCAGTCCTTTCGGCTACAATATCAACTCTCCTGGAGAAATATGCGATAGAACACCTCAATCCGGTGAGCATAACTCCAGGGTTTTACTCCCCGATTTTTCTGGTGCCAAAGAAAAATTCCAGCAAGTTGTGTCTCATCTTCAATATGAAGACATTCAACGCTTGATTCCTACAACAACCACCTCATTTCCCGAATGATATCAGTCAGTCTTCTCCGCTCAATTTTGAAGAAAGGGGATTTCCTCATATCCCTCGATCTTCAAGACGCATACCTCCACCTTCCGATTCACCCAGATCATCGGAAGTATCTGAGGTTCACATTCGCGGGCCATCACTTCCAATGGAAAGTCCTTCCATTTGGAATCTCTACGGCCCCGTGGCTTTTTACTTGGGTGACCAAACCCATCAGCAGTTTCCTGCATTCTCGGGGAGTAACCTTCGAAAGCTATATCGACGATTGTATTCAGGCACAACAGGATCCAATCGTTCTTCAAATCCATCGGGAGTTCACCATCAGGCTGCTCAAACAGTTAGGGTGGCTCCTCAATTACGAGAAGTCGGAGTTAACACCAACTCGCAGACATCAGTTCATAGGAGCAATCTTCGACACAGAACAAGCCAAGTTGTTTGTTCCCCAGGACAGGTGGACCAAAATTCAGCGTCTGGTACCACTAGCCTTGGATCACCTCAGAACTCTACGCCAGTGGCAGGAGTTGCTGGGAGTCTTAACGTCAGCTCAGGCTCTGACTTACAGAGGTCAGCTGCAGCTTCGTCCGCTTCAGGTGTTTCTGCGACCTCATCTTCAAACCAACAACCCTCAGGAGTTGATTCGGTTACCCAGGGATCTACGTCCAATTCTGCGTTGGTGGCTCAACGTACAGAATGTCTGCGCCGGCGTCTCTTTGGTGCCCTTCAGTCCAACCCATCAGTTGTTTGTGGACGCTTCTCTAGAAGGTTGGGGTGCCCACTTCCTTCAACATCAAGTGGCAGGGCGGTGGTCGTCCGGACGACAAGTCACTCCACATAAACATTCTGGAGTTCAAGGCAGTATTACTGGCAATTCAGCACTGGGCGGTTCTACTCAAGAGGTCTCATCTGCTGATACAGTCCGACAACTCGACGCGGTAGTGTGGTACATCAATCACCTAGGGTTGACGGGGTCGGCAGGATTCCTACAGTGGACGCTTTCGATTCTATCTTCTGATAGATTCTCTCAATATTGTCGCAAGAACCAGGCACATTCCCGGAACAAAGAAGCGTGATTGCCGATGCTCTGTCTCGTTCCAGTCGCCCGTCACGCCCACAGAGTGGCAACTCCTGCCCAAGATTTTTCGGACGATAATTTACCCGCTCTCTCGACCGAGTGTCGACCTGTTTGCCACTCGGTTCAACTCCCAACTGCCGAGATTCATGTCTCCAATTCCAGATCCACTAGCGTGGGATCACGACGCCTTGGCCATTCCCTGGGAAGGTCTCAACGCTTATGCGTTTCCGCCTCCGGCTCTATTTCACAAGGTCATTCAGAAAGTTCTGTTAACCAACAAAGTACAACTGCTTTTGGTAGCGCCATTTTGGCCGGCGAGAAGTTGGTTCGTCGGCCTAAAAAGCCTAGTCAGTCGAAGCAGCATTCCTCTTCCCGTGCGGGACGACCTACTAGTTCATCCGCACTCAGGCGTGTATCACGAGTCACCACAGACGTTCAATCTTCACGTATGGCACATTTGCAGAAATCACTAATAGCCAAAGGTTATTCTCACAGAGTGGCCTCAGCTATCACTGCAGCTCATCGTACATCCACACGTTCTTTGTATGACGATAAGTGGAAGAAATTTGAATGTTATTGTCGGGTCAGAGGGATCACTTCCCCTACTACTGCTTCGCCCCAGGTTGTTGCGGAATATTTACAACATTTACGGGCTACAAGGAAACTCAAGGGTTCCACTTTAGCCACCTACTTGGCGGCTCTTAATTCGGTCCTAGCCACGACTTCTGGTACGAAGGTTTCGACAGTCCCGGAACTGCAGTACTTGCTTCGTTCTTTTAAGCTAGCTGACCAATCCAGGAAATTTCGTCCACCAGCTTGGGACTTATCCGTGGTCCTGCGCCACTTAGTGTCCGAGCATTATGAACCCTTACAGGACAAGGAATTTGAACAGGTTTCGTTCAAGACCTTTTTTCTTATTGCCTTTGTCCAGTCAGAGCACTTCGCATTTACCTTAAAGCATCGCAAGAGCGCCGCCGTCTGCGTAAGAGACTGTTTATACCTTTGTCTACTGCTTCCAAGGCGGAAGTTTCTCGCACAATACTCTCATACTGGCTACGAGCTACAATACTACGAGCCTACACTTTTGCCGGTTTGCCACCACCTACGGCAGTCAACCCTCATGAAACCAGGGCATTGGCTTCTACTATGGCGTTGCATAGCAACTGCTCGTTAACCGCCATAATGGAGGGCTGTTTTTGGCGATGTGACACGGTATTTTCGTCTCATTACCTCAGAGATGTGTCGGTGACGGATATTCAAGGCCTTCATCAGTTTGGACCACTCGTCTTTGCCCAGCAGTTATCAGCGGCACACCATCGCAGATAATGAATTTCCTTGGGCTACGATGCTATATGGATCCCACTGTGCAGTTGATCCCAAGTCGCGATCGTTTTCTGCTTGTGTACAATCTGAATAAATCTGAAAACAAAATTTTCTGGTTTATGTCTTTGTTTCTTCCCGGGATTTAGATTTCTCCTCTCATTTGTTTGAGACTATAGAGAGTCGCCACCTCATTTACTGTCCTCTGCTCCACGGAGTAATTAAGTCAGTGAAGTGAGTCCTTCCCGAAGTGTTACACTTCGTAGCGTTCGTGCTCCTAAGTGCCTATACACATCTATGTGATCTTACTGTGGTAAGTAGTGGAAGTCATATGATGATGTTGTGGTACTGAATGTTAAAATTGTGAGTTTTTACCGATTCAATTACCCTTTCACCCTCCTCGTGACGGTGTCTGTGGGGGTTGTTTCGAAGCAGGGGCTGGCCCGATACTAGTCGTTCGACTTTTATTACGGGGGTACCTTGGAAATCGTGGCGATGCAACTGATTACACTCGCTAAGCTACGTCCTTTCACTTTGTGAAGGTAGTGACTGAACACCACATTGCTCGGGAATCTCGGTCCCTGGGAGCAATTGTGCTTAGTAAGTCAAGGGGTTCGCACTAACCCTTGCACGTAGTAACTTGGTAGTTATTGGCCTACCTTGTAGTTGCTTCCTACGGTTGTTTGGGCATAACGCTTAGCTGTTATCGCTTGAACTTCGGGTAATCTATGACCCACCTTCCTACCATGGGATAAGTGCAAGTCGTAAGATAGGATAAGTTTAAAAATTTGGAAATTTTAACTATAAATTGTATATTTATATACTTATCCTATCTCACGCGATATAGTCCCTCCCTACCTCCCCACTACATAGATTACCACCGTTTCGGTTTTGTCCTTTTATGGCTCCAAGATCGAGAATGAGTATGTGAGGTGATCACGTGGGTGAGGACTGCGCATGCCTCGTGCTGTCATGGACTAGTGAGCACGACTGAGACAGGAAGGCACGCACAGCACGGGAGAGGGACAAGGTAGGCCTGGAGCAAAGTTTTAATTCGTTTCCACTCATGGTCGAATGAAGAGAGAGAGGTGCAAGTCGTGAGATAGGATAAGTATATAAATATACAATTTATAGTTAAAATTTCCAATAATAATTATAATAAATAATAATAATAATGAGATTAAGTGTTTTATTCAATTTTAGACCTACTTTGGGGGAGCCTACAAGGAACACCTGGCAGTTTCCGTGATATCTCGTAGGTGTTATGATACTGCATCGAGCATCATGACACAGTATCGACTCAACCAACATCCGAAACAGAAATCCACGACTGTCAACAGGGCGCTTTTCAAGGAAGTCCCAGGAACACGAGACGAGGAAGCCTTGTACCAGGCACTGCTAGACTTTAAAGATGGAAGGATCGGAAAAGAAAAGTTTAACAGGACTCTAAAGATAATGAAACAGGGAAAGGTATGATTCAGTTTAAAATTACCTGCTGTCGAAATTTGTTTTAGAAAGTAGGAAATATCATCCTCGATAATCTCTAGGGTATCGTTACGATCACTCTCCACTATACCCTGGATGCATCCACGGCTTGGGGCGATGATTTTATTACCTCCCTTGGCTGGCTCCACATTCTCACAGTGTCCAATCAGCTAAGCCGCCGTTACAACCGAGCTTGCCAGTGTCAACAAGGATAGCAGTCGCAGTCGTGAAGGTTTGTTCGCAGTGCCACTCAGATTTTTGGGGAAATAATAAAGACAAATTGACAGATCTGAAACTTTAAAAAAATATATGACAGAACTCCTTCTACTTCTTTCAGAGTACCTCTGCATCAATTGTGTTGCCAAGTTTAAACGGTTAGATAATTTAAGAAGCGAAAGTGAGTTGTGATTGGTACACTCAACTTCCCAGCGTAGGCACCTGGTTGGATAAAAAGCCAGCCAAGGAAGTTAATAAATTCATCGCCCCAAGCTGTGGATGTGGGCACAAATAGGCCTCTTATTGGCCCACGTCGCCCTAAAACTATAAAACCAACCAACCAACCAAGCCGTGGATGCATCCAGGGAATAGTGGAGAGTTGTCGTAACGTATACCCTAGAGATTATCGAGGATGAGGGAATATATGCAGCATGTGTTACATTTGGGATCAGAATATGACAGATCCATTACGTCGATTGCACACCATGTATTACATGCATGCTGCATTGGGCAGCCAGATGCAAACTACAAGTTGGTTAAAGATTGGAACATTTTGTTGGTACAGAAAAAAGACGAAATGTCCTGGAAAAGGGAAAATGAAAAGTTGAGACAAGAACTGAAAAGGCAGCAAGCAATTGTTGAGAGTCAGGAGAAGAGGATTGCTACCTTAGAAGCAGAACTAACGATTTTGAAGGTTGGTAGAATATCAGAGAAGCCAACCTCTACAATTTTATCGTAGTCGCTACAACTGTTGGCCTCAATCAAGCTCAACAGGATTGCACAAGTCATTCTATGAAATTTGAAGAATATTCATTAAAATTTGGATATATAGACCAAAACATATATTTTCGCCGATTAAATACATTTTTGCCAAAAAGAGACGACAAGAAAAAATGCAATGCTGATAATTTGGAAATCTACTGTTGGAGGTATGTGAAATTAAAGCTTCACTCTTGATATGTGTCATATTATCTTTCTCAGAATCCATCATGATTTTAAGTATTGAGTTGACAACTAATTTTATGCTCGAACTAGTAATTTTGATCCTTAAAAGTAATATTTGCAACACTTTGGGATATTGATACACTTCACCAAGATGAAACTAATATTCATATATCCATACTCAACACATTCTTCATGCTGTGTTCTTGTGGTAGACACTGCGCTGTGTAATGTTGTGAAATGTTATTTCAGGCTGGTACCTCACATGGCAATGGCCTATCACAAATGGAAATAGTGGAATCTAGTGATGTAAGTACTATGCACAACTACACAGAATGTCAACTCATTATCGAACAGGTTTTGTCTCCCGGCAAGCGGGACTTTCACAGCTGTTAAATGAATGATAGATACATCTTTAACACATACATACGTAAAACAAATCGTCGAAACTTAGAATCAAACTCCAAATCCCAAGCACACAATGTCAGCAAACTAAAACGCTCAGCATCCGAGGCTTCAGAAAGGTGGTTATTCGACAACTGGTCTGAATCACTTTCACCCGGCCCGGCTCCCATTACTAGGAGCTGTGAATAAGTGCCTGGTCAAAAGTAACAAATGTGGAATTGCAAACTTAGACCTTGCCAATTTACCTCAGGTTTTTACTCAGCGCCAGCAAGCCAAAATATATCAATGGTTACATTTGAAGACATTCTCAAAGACACAATTAAGATTTCACTCCCACTAATTTACCACTCCAAATTCACACCACATCATGGAAAAAAGGCATGTTATATGAAGTTGTATTTAACATTTCTTGTTGTGGAGAATATTTACACTAATACAGAGCTACAGATAACTTTTAGGGTCATTGAGTTATGTACTCGCTGGTCTTCATCTCAATTGGGTATCCTAATTTTCCTTTGAGTAACGAAATAAATTGTACTCACCTCACTCAAACTCAATTGGGTATTTTGCCATGTTCTATTAATTATAAAAAAGCTAATAAAGTTTAAATGTTAGTGTTTGTGATTCACATTTGATCTGTAATATGAGAAACGATAAGAAAGACTGCAAGTTGTCAAGTTCATATCCTGAAATAGAACCTCTAAGTATACTTCAGTTATTTTATCTGTCCACCAGTACTGAAACTACGATTTGACATTTTCGTGTGTACACATGTAAGATCACATTTTATTGAGTACAATGTATTTACAAAACTTCAAGCGTACTTGTACGCAATAGACGTAATAGGAATTGAGTTTTCACATAAATATTTGAGTAATTTACGCAGATCTACACCTCTGCTAATATTTATATCTGAAGATCGGAGTTTCAATCAGCATATATATACTGAGGGGATCAAATATGGCAGTGTTCCTTTATTTATTCTCAGATTTCCTCCCACAGCGCTATTCAAAGCTGGTGATAAAAACTGGAAAATATTAATTTGAATTTTCCTGTGTTCCTTTATTTGTTTCCCTCAGTATATTTCCGGCGCGGTAAGTAAAGCAATATCCATGTATTCACGTACCCCCTTTGCTTCACCTGGTACATATATTAATTATCATGAGGGTGGATTTTATAGCAAGGATACCATATACTAGAATATAGTTTGCCATTTTTCGATGAGTACCGAAATTGTAACTCTGAAAGTTATCTGTACTTACAGCAGACTGTCTCGGAAAACCTGATCCATGGAGCAAAAGAGGATGAGAGTATGGTATGTATGACTTGCGTTTTTCACAGAACTGAGTACCTAATAATTAAATATATGTTACCAAGCAAAGTTTAAAGGGAACATCTAAGTAAATGTCAGTGTTGAAATTTGCATATGGAGCAATGTATAGATTGTAAGATATAATATAAAGATAGAATATACAGGGAGACAGACACCTGATACCCAGACACATTCGTTTTGGCGTATATCGTATATCTCGATTTCTGTCATCCAGGCTTAGGTGTTGAAACGGTAGCGAGCATACACTTAGGGTTTAAAATCACTTCCAAAACAGCGTGGTCGTTTGGATTTGCCAATAACAATTCCCTCAGTGTCTGATAGGCCTACCCGGTACTAATCAACACCAATACCCTGCTGGTTGGTCATTAATCCGGATTAGCAGACCTTGTCTGTGTTAAGACATGTGGAAGATCAAAGCTTTGTGCGAATAAGTGAGTCAATTTTGTGTTGATTAGCTGGTTGGATAGTAAAATTTACCACCCGGAAACGGAAACCAAATATCCGTTATAGACAGTCACTTTTATGACTGACTGACTGAGTTTGGTTTTACGCCGCTTTTAGCAATATTACAGCAATATCACGGCTGGGGACACCAGAAATGGGCTTCACTCATTGTACCCATGTGGGGATTCGAACCCGGGTCTTCGGCGTGACGAGCCAACGCTTTAACCACTAGGCTACCCCATCTCCCCTCACTTTTATAACATAGAGGTGTTTATGAAAACTGACCGGAAGGCGAGGTTTCCGGATATCTGGGGTCCAGGTATCTGGGGTCTCACTGTAAATATGAATAACGAAAGTTTTAACACCAATTATTACAGATCCTGGTTCCTTTGGGGGTTGAGTCGTGGTTAATTTGATTATCTAAAATGCATTGTGAATTTATTGATGTTTTTCACTCTTTCCATTTAGGTTCAACAGTTTCTTGGAAAGCAAGGAGAGAAGGAAGAAGCAAATGCTATAAGTCTTGGCTTTTGGGCTTTGAATTCGTTGTACATGTTCTCACACTGATCTTCAATCCTCAGAACTGATGCATGGAGCCAGCAATTTATTATCAAACGACCTAAACAATAAGCCATCTGGCAGTATGATCAGAGGAATGCCATAAGAATATCAGCTCCACCTGTGTTTATTTTTCTCATTCGGTTACATTTCAGACAATTGGGAAAATGATGGAGGGCAAGGATGAAGATACAGGAATGTGGTAGGAATCTTCGAAAACATGTATCTGTTGTCAACGAAGTCTGATGCTGCTAGTTATTACATTAATTAAATATTTTCCAATGGTTGGCTAAAGGTCATGCAGTGCAGAAAACTCCGAACTCATTTGTTAACATTTCTATGCAGTTATTGACTAATTCTAGTTGATGCGTTTACTAGGCAAAGAAATTATTTTTGCCATGTTCCTTATTTTTTGCCACGTTCCAAATTATAAGTTCATCATTGAGACAAGCGATTACACATGTACGATAATACATGGGCTTCTATTCATCTGTTTCTCATATTATGTTCTGATCAGGTTCAAGGTGAAAATTATAGAGGAAAGAAATTCTCGTGTGAAGGTTCACTGGATGGGTTATTCTAAAGACTATGATTCCTGGATAGAGCAGAGCCTCCTCAGACCCCTCAAGGCAAAGGTTAGTATGATCACAGGGAATATATTTGTCAACACGACTCTCAAATACTTCCTTTTCCCATCTTTTTGTGTGCCACTCGTATTGGTAGACAGGGACCGAACAATATAATTCACAAATCTGCATTTCAGTTTTCAGAAGGGGACAAGGTTACCGCCCGCTACAACTTATCGAACAGGACAATGTATCCAGCCATAGTGGTGTCCGTGGATGGGGGTACGTTTACATTATCATTAGGTTTACTAAAATGTATCAACATTAGATATGCTCAATTTAGGATTACACATTCTGTCTACATTCTATTTGTATATAGCATTATGTATTTGTTTCAATTATATCGATCTCCATCTATTGCTTCCAGATTGGGCATTTGTTAGAGAAGGGTGAATGTGTCCCAGAGCAGTTGGCGCAGTTTTAAAGTTGTTATTGCAATCCCCAGTCATATGAGTTTTCTCACATTTTCATATTTTCATATTCCATTTCCATCACCCTGTGCGATTCATTTCTTTCTCACATTGTTTCAGACAAGGTACTTCTTCATTATGAAGATGGGTTGGAGAAGAAAATCCACCAAAGATATGTAGAAGAAAGACACAGTGCAGCCTAATGCAATGCTCACCAAATTCTAATCAAAACTTATGTACGACTGCATCGTATATTGTTTATAATATATTGCGTAGGCAGATCATGATTATCTAACTAAGGTATCTTTTCTTTATTTTATACATCATGAATAAATCAATTTAACTTTCAATAATGTGTTTTGCTTTTTGTCACTGTATTTGCCAATCGAGGCGAATGAATTTTGAGCAAAACAATCTTTGCTCGCTTGTTCGAAAAAGATATATCGCTAAAATTATTTGAATTAAGTTAACATAAGTTGATTTATGTGTTATGATACCTACAGACACACTTTGCATTGATATACAATCCAAAAACATGTGTTTTGAGCAAAGGAAAGAATTCTTTGCCTATGGGCGAAATATTTTGGAACTATGCAAACTCATCAAAGTCAGATCTCAGCGCCCCCTATCACGAATCGTGCCAACTATAATAACACAGCCATTATGTGTTTATAATTATCAAGTTAGAATGAGATGTCACGATCTTGAAACTAGCACCGAAAAGTTTGAGAAGGCTGCGTTACACCTGCTAACATCGACTCCCATAGTCAATTCATTGACCTGGACAGATTAAGATGGATTAGAAAGTATCAGTGATCACGGGTGGGTGATTATACTGCTCAATGTGAAATTTAACCCAGTTGGTGGGTAATGGTGACACCACTTCACCGCGACCCCATGGTCTATGTTCATTGATAGTTTCATCATTGAATATGATTGTTTAATAAAGTGCTGTTTGTATTCAATGATGTGAAAACCAAGTCAGTCACAATGACTAACCCACACAAATGCCTGTCAGATGTATTTCCAATAGGAGAGATGGCAAGCACTTATATACTTGGATGATAAGTTCACTATCAACATACTGGTAAAGAGGTACAGCTATCCATACAGAAGATGCCAAAATACTAACAATGCCACTCCAAAGTCAACACTAAAGATGACATCATCACGTTCTCCAGAAATGAACATAACCTGATATTTATGTGGGTGAGTGCATAACGGGCAAAACGTCTTCTGGCTGGACATGGCACTTATGCTACACAGTAGTGCTTCAAGAGAACATATCATGCGTACCACGTAATTAAACCCGTCTTTACACAAGTTCAATTCCATGTCATCGTGTATAACATTGCACGGTCACATGATCATTTTTTGATAAACGAAACAATCTTATACTACCCATCAAAAATTTAGACTCACTTAAATCACTCACTATATGTTATGTATATACATATGGTTACATTGAAGATAAATTTCTCCACTAACTTGGGGGAACCAACTGCAAACCCTAGGCAGATGAATTGTATGATGGTAATGCATCAATTTGCTTTTAATGCATGTGCAAATATCGTGCATGTGAACAGCTGCGTTTTGGTGTAAAGTTCTGTTAAGAATTCGCCAATTTTTAGTGAGTTTCATCATTTATTGAACTCACGATAATAATCTTTTCCACGTTACGAATTTTTTTTGCAATACATCACTTCATATGTCAACAGTGCCTTTAAACTGAATGGAATATTATGCAAAATCTAGTTTAGAATAGTTGACTGAAGTAAGTGGCAACACTTACACTGGTGAGTCTAAACTTTTGATGGGTAGTATATTATAGCTTGAAGCTCTCATGAAGAGCAGCTTCCTCGTGGTGAATGCAAGGTAACGCTAATAGCGCTTCCCCCGCGTGGATCTGGAATAGAGTAGGTCCTCAGCACCCCATTGCTGGTCGTCAGAAGCGACCGATTTGAGCAACCTGTTTGCCTTGGGTTGCGCCCCCTGTGTCAGTGGAAGACGGGTTCTGATGGTTGAGGGCACTGGTTCCAGGAACACTTTTGCTTTGCATAATGTACCAGTTCGACCCATACTTCACCTAGACGGGTGGTAGAATGGGCCCGGTTCTATCAATTGGCTGGTCATGTCATGCCCCGTGCATTCTATTTCATATTGCACAAATCTGATTTCTATAGATGATCCTTTTTGGGGTATTCGTCAAATGAGCAGAACAAATGTTTAATTTGCCTCGAGTTGGATGCCCAGAAGGCTGTGGCTCATGGTTCAATCCAGTGGAATAAGTATTCTGTTAGTTGTTCTGCTGCAGTACATGTATCATCTGAGTATCCTTGGTGCTGCGAGTCGGAGATTAAGTTGTCTTCAGCATTGTTTTCATGAGACGCCATGGTGGGTGGGGGGCTCGGATGATGAACCATTTTAAACTAACTAACACATCCTCCCAAAGCAGCCCCCCTCCCTCCCCCACCCCACTTCAAAGAAACAAACGTCAATTGGACAATGCTGATGATGATGACCAGTGACGTTCCAACTCAATCGAATATTATCCACGATTCTCGTTATCGAGACTTTTGACAAGTCACGTATAAAAATAAACCCTTTTACTGTATCAAAAGGTGAACATGGTATCACAGGTGAGGTAAGAAATATCAAACGATTGCAGACAGACTCTCTACTTATAGAATGTAGCAGAAAACAGCAATAAACCAACCTGCTGTCAACCGAGTTAATTGTTTGAGTTCCGGTTCTCCACACAGAACTATGAACACGAGCAAAAGAATTGTCAGGACCGAGATTGTTTGCTTATGGGTTTGAACATGACATCGTACCAGAAATGAATGTGCAAGGGCTCACTTTTGTCAAAATATTCACAACCCGACAAAACTGAGTATAATTTAGAATTCATTAATCTTATATTTACTCATTCCTTATTTACTTGTGAAAGATATTTACTCAATGATTTTAAAATATGGATATTGTCCGATTACAACAGTCGGATGAAGGTTTCAATTGTCGGTGGTTGAGTCAGATGATTTGAAAAACAGTCAGATCTTTGTTGGGACTATTTTCGACATAACATATGGAATTCATCTTCGATGTAATCAAGGCTAGCAGCATGACAAAAGAGGCAGAGACGTTCATTATATACGGGATGTTTGTATGACGGCCACATTCCACTGCGAGTTCTGATTTGTACGTTGATTTTAAATTGTGAATAGGAATTACATTTGGATGACGAAAATAGTGAGGCATGCCAGTATTGAGTGAAGCAGTCATAAAATCTGTTTAAACATTTCCATGAATGTGGATATACAGCCGATGCCCTGAGATATCCATGAGAAACCAAATCCATAATGTTATTAATGAGGTTGGTTGCATTATATATGATGAAATTGTACATTCCGTGTATGGTAGTTTATTGAAAACCATTGCAGGACCTGGATAAAGGCTTCTGATAACCATGGTGCCAATAGTCATCATGTGGTAGGGTGTTAAAAAATTAGCACATTGAGTGCTTCACAAAATCGCCACTACTGTGCATGTGGCAGATGATGTTTCATCATGAACAGCATTTGCACATGTTCTTCGTGTGATTAGTGCTGTGCATGCTTATTTTCCTTATAAAACTTGCAATTGTCGCAAACAATACAGAGGAAGAGCTCTTGCCTGGTTTCAAGATGGTGAAATTCAACACAGTGTGGCTCAGAGACTAAATATGAGTGAGAGTGCCATTGAAAGGTTATGGCCACGCTTTCGTGTCACTGGAACGCTGAGTAACCCACCACGTTCTGGCAGGCCTCCATGAACAAGTCCTAGAGAAGATCGATACCTGACAAATATGGCCCTCCAATACGCAGTAACTGAGAGCTGCCCATAGGTACCAAGGTATCTGATCAGACTCTCAGGAACCGACTGAGGAGGAACAATCTTCGGGCACGGCGACCAACAGTACGACCACCACTCCTTCAGCGACACAGGACGGCAAGACGTCTACAGTCCAATGATGGTAGACCTCGTGTGTATCGGCGCCCAGGAGAGAGGTTTGCTGATGTTAACGTCAATCAACGTTTGCCGTTTGGAGGTGGGTTATCATGGTTTGGAGTGCGTTTTCCTTTCATCAAAGGACACCTATCTGCAGTGTTCGAAATGCCTGCCTGACAGTCCGGGACGGGTTATTTTCAACGCGGACTGCCAAATTCTCAAATTCACCTGGCCGACGGTCGGGTTAAAATTTAGACATGTATATGAAGACATTTGTCATATTTCAGGATAATAAATCATTTTTAATTCACTCAAAAATAAATGATAAATTCCAATTGGATGATAAGCTACGTGGCTTGTTAAATCTAAAATATTTGCAGGCTGGTCAGTTTTGGTCAGGGCTGGCAAGTTTTACATCTCACCAGCCCTGTGGTCTGACTGACATTTTTTGGAGTTTTATACCCTGCTATCTGTGTCATTAATGGTAACCTGACTGGAAATCGCTATCTACCGGAGAGTATCAGACACCTTAAGCTTGTTTTGCCATGTTTACAACGTATGGGCATCGGATCCATATTCCAAAATGGCAACGCCCGACCACACCGTGGAACATGGAATGCCCGGCAGATTCATCAGATTTAGCCCCTATTGAATTTGCTAGGGACGAATTAGGACGTCGGCTTCGAGACAGAGGTGTACTGCTTGTCTTACTAATCGAGGTGGTTACCTCCGTTATTAGTCCAATGTTGGCGTTTGAATGTTCACTTCTGACAGTAGGTCACTTTGACCTTATTGATCAGCAATAACTGACATTCCTGCTGCCCTCCTACCAACCCACAACCTAGGAGTCAGTCACCTAATCGCAGCACACAAAGTCAGCCACCTAAGCCGCTAAGCCTCCATGACTTCCACCGCTTACAAGTATGTGATTACAGCGCTTCGCCTATAACCACAGAGCGCAACCTTTTCATCGCTTGCTGTGGTCTCAAACCAATGTGGTTGCTTTCGGATATAAGAGTGAGTGAGGCAAAAGGAGCAAAGGCATCCTAGCACCCTCAGGCTGATCCATATCTTCGAAGTAGTGATCAGTAGTCACAAATTCATCAGCTCGTCATCGACTTTCCTGTATTTCGGAGGCGGTGGGGTAGGTTTGTGGATAGAGCGTTTGCTCACCAGGGTAATCCCACATCCCCACATAATAATATAGATTTTTGTGTCCCCGCCGTGATATTGCTGTGATATTTCTCAAAGCCTTGAAAAAGCCAACTCATTCACTTTTTTTATTACGTTCTTCATCAGGGAGAGGCAACCAAGCGGTCGGCACATCACGATGCTGGAGGACGGTGTGCGAGCGTTTGGAGTT